AATCGGCATTTCACCCGTTCGCCCACTGCCCCACTCTTCTCGTTGCAGTGGCCCCCTGCCATGGCGCCCTCCCACCGCGGCTGAACGCTCCGCGTGCGCCGCTGGCGCGGCTCGGCATGAGCTCTGAAGAGCCCGCTGCAGGATGCGACCAGCATCGCCCCACGACGTGTCCCTTCGAGAACGCGAAGTTCATCGGCTGGAGCCCCTACTCGTTGCTCAGCCATCACGGTCGCACACAGACCATCAACCACGAATTCAAGGACCAGTACGCGGTGCTGTTCCCAGGGACACACGTCCGACAGGTCGCCAACTACGCCCACAACAGCGAGCAGACCGACTCCCACTTCTGGGTCCACTGGGGATGGCGACGCAGTCCAGTGGTTGTGCGATCGCACTCTCCCGACGACGGCGCCATTCACGACGCTTGGTACGTATTTTTTTCGCCTCCCACCGCACTTCAGGGCCGAGGCGGCTCTGTCCACGTCGTCCGCAGCCAATTCCGCGTCAGGCTCGTCGTCGGCTACTTCCCGCCCATCAGCCATCGAAATTCGGCACACCAGATGGAGACTATTCGCAAGCGTTTATGGCAGTGGATTGTATCTGAGGTCAACTCGTGCCCAGCTCGTACTACGCCACTTTTTCGGCGATTTGAATCAAGGCTTTGGCAGACGTCACCGATCACTATGGACAGACGACAGCATTGGACCCATGCAAGTTGCCCCAGAGACCCCCGTGGGCTCATACTTCCACGAGTCTCTCTTGCGCAATTCGCTCACGGCGTTTAACACGTTCTGGAACACGGGATCGACGTTCTTCGGCAATGGAGGTGCCCAGCGTAGAATCGACTACTGGGTCGGCCCGGCCGACGCCATGCGTATCATCAACAATATCAAGCTATGCTGGAAATCCCACCAACGCCTGCGCACGCTTGCTCATATGAAGGACCTCGTCCCCATGTTTATCAACAGCAAGCTGCCCCTCCCACACTCCACCACACCAAGTCAGAAGATACGATGGGAGTGGGCTTACATAGCTGCTGGACTCCAAACTGGCTGCCGACGCCCCGCATTCCTCCACGACCTCCACACCCACATCGGGCACTGCCGGTATAAATTACGAGCGCTTCAGTACGACCAACTTCCTGATCGCCACGCCGCCCTCGTCGCTTACTTGATCCGCAAAGCAGCTGCACCTCACTACTCTCGCCAACAGGGAAAGCCTCGGTGGATACAGGAAGCGCAAGGACAGTGACGACAGCTCTTACGAGAACGCGCACAACTGCGAGAACGTGGCATCGCTGTGGGCGACGCCCTACTCAAGGACATTTCACGACGACTGCGAGAACACGCCAAGTGGAAACAAGCCTGGTGGAACCACTCTCTCGACGAGCAGATCTCCGACGCCTGGCACCAGCGAGACCTTTCCCGAGAAGCCGAACTCGCCCGACTCCGCGCTGGGACGCGCATGGGCCCCAAGAAGCGCACATTCATCGCTTTCCCGAGCGCCAGATCAGCAGCGGCGCATTACGAAGCAGCACTGGGACGAGACGGAGTTGATGGCGGACTCACCGCCGCGCCCATCCACGTCAGCATCTACATCGAGAACGACGCCAGCATCGAACAACTCGACCACTGCCACGACGACGGCATCACGCCACTCGGAGAGTACCGCGTGGGCCCGACGTATGATTCTCTGCCCGCAGCTGTTGAGGACCTCGACACTATGGCTAACTGACCCTGGGCCAACGAGCACCGCAAGTTCTCACCGAGCTGGTCAGGGCCCACGGAACTGACGACGATGATGCTGTTTCCAAATTGCCTCAGCAGACTTGGACTACCGCGCAGCGGACTTGGGAACGCCACGACCGACTACGACTAGTCACTCCACGCCCTACGACGCGGACTAGGTCGCCATCAGCCACCGAACAACGACGATGACAACCCACGACCACCACGACCTCCACACCGACGACAACTTCAGATCGATTACGACCACCGCGAGGCCCCGAAGGTCACGTTCATCCACGTCCTCGCCCACGTACGCGACCCCGACGCACTCCCAGCCCAATCCTACACGAGCCAATCTGCGGCCATCGGCAAGAAGGGCAAAGAACCTCGAGGCGACCCTGTCCACGACCTGAACAACTGCCGTCGTATGCTTCACGTCTTCTGCCCCTTCCGGCGGCTATCTTTACGAGGAGGACTGGTGGACTTCGGCAGCACTTGCGACCCGCCCCAATGGGCGCGCGGAGGCATCCGCGCGCGACGGCGCGAAGAACTCATGCTACTTGCTCGCATCGCCACTCGCAAGTTACGCAAGGCCACGTCCCGCACATCGCGCAGAGCTTCGACGCGAGGAAAACATTCGGCACCGGCTGCACTCATCGACTCTGCGCCGCCCACCAAATTCGCACGGGCAACGACCACTGCGAGAACATGCCCCGCCAATGCCGCGAGAAGGCCACCATGCGGATCGACGCGCGCGACCAGGTGATCGGCCTTCACCCGCGCGCAGGCGGCCGCATAGGCGACGGCAGCGGGCCAGAGCTCTTCATGGAATCTTTCTGTCCTCTCATCCAGGACTGGGATCCCGAACTCGCCGGCATCATCGAGGGCGGCCCTGCTACATCCAGCCCGTTCAGTGGAGGAGTGCACAGAACCGACATGGGCGCCTTCATAGACGACGTCATCCTCTTCTTTCCGATTCCCGACGGCACCCCGCGACGAGACCTAGCTATCGATTGCGTCGACGCGCCCATCTTGAACCGCAAGCTCGCGCGGGGCGGCTACGCACAGAACCCTTCCAAGCAGGTGGCCCTGGCCCGCCTCGCCCCCAGCGCAGCGACCAAACGAGCCGAGCACGACTTGACTGGCGCGCGCATGACCAACCTGATTCACCTGGTCTCCAACACCCGCGTGGACGGCTACAACGCTCGGGAGGTCGAGGAGCGCATCCGCGCCTGCGACGTCGCCTGGACTCGGCTGATTCATTTTTGGACTTCGGCCGCGCCCAGACGATGCAAAAGACTCGTCTTCCTTGCGAGCATCGCGAGCAGAGCGTGCTCAGGCCTGGAAGCTCTGGTGCTGACTCGAGCCGAGGTGGCGCGCATCGACGCCAGCTCGGCAAAAAAAAGCTGCGCCGCGTGCATCAGGAGGAAAAGAAACACACAGACACGATTAATCCTCGATTCCCCCGAAAATATTGTAAAATATGGGATGTGGCTGGGAAGACAGAAACACAGAAAATATGGGAAACATATGGGGGATATTTTTATATGTGTGTATTTATTTGTGTGTCCAGGGGCCCCCTCAGTGCTCCCTGGCCCCGCTCGCGCAGTCGACGACGACGGCGTTCATTCTACTCTCACCACCAGAGACCTGTTCTTGGAATGGAGCATTGCCCCCACGGGACTCGAGCTTTGTGCCGGGAGATTGAAGTGGCGGCAAATTCTCAGCAAAGAAGCTTCTCACCATGATCAGTTTATTGTTGGATTCTTTGGCCGCAGTAAGATTGAATATCATATTTCTAGTCGAGGCTCACCCACTTCCGCTCACGCGCTGCTGCTTGACGGCCCCCCTGAATCCCGACGAACACGTCCATCTCTGGGCCCGACAATTCCGAGCAGACCTCCGAGGCGCCCTTGGAGCCCCTGTCGCCGACGACTTGAAAGACGCGTGGACCATCGCGTCTTTCAGAACCCAGGGATCCAGGAGACCTTTCAGAGTATCGGCCTCAGTTACTTCCGCCAGGCATGCGTCTCTCAGTCTCGGGCCCCACCTGAACACTTACAGCATCTACCTTCCGACGAGCCCCGTGGAGACCCAGACAGCGACCCTGGAGACCCCGCTCCGCTCGCATGCAACGTCGGGGGGTGCGCGAAGAGGTTCGCACGCACTCCGCACTCATATATCACCAAACGACGGCAGCACTCCCTGGACACGGTACGAATATTATTTCATCTACCATCGCGATCGACAATAAATGCCTCGTTTGCGGCAACATCTACGGAACCATTCGATTTTGCCAATTGCAGCATCGTCATTCCTGGCTAGAAGGACGCTGTTTCGTCGATCGCACGTTTCACGCCGATCCCTGGTCACATTCGGCGCGCGCGAGATGCCCCTTGGAACGTGAAAGTGATGCCGTCGACTGTCATCGAGACCATCACGACCCCGCAGCACTCCGAGCCCATCTTCGCACTTACACCCCTCCGTCGCCACGTGGGCCCCGGCTCAATACAGCCCCGCGCTCCGCGCGGGCGGCCACTCGAGACGGCGAGTCGGCCAGGCCGCAATCCTTCCCTGCGCCGGTTTGGAAGCCCGTTGACACAGCACCACTGCGGCGCGAAGTGCGCCTGGCGGCTGACCGACTGCTCGGTGCTACGCGAGATACCAAGCCCACGACTACACGCACGGGACGGACCACACCACGTGCGCTAACGCGCACGCGGCTGGGTACCACCAACTACAGCTAGGCGACTCGAACGACTCTGACGTCTGCACCTGCTCTACTTGCGCGACCTGCACCACCACCTGCAGATGGCGAGCACGGGCTGCCAGGCGGTGCCGCCGACCGTGCAGAGGCCGAGAGCCCCTTGGCGCGGCCCCCGACCGTCCTCGACCAATTCTGGCAACTCTGGCAGCGCCTCCAAGGACGGCGAGCCACTGGCCAAGAAACGAGGAGCAGCCCGACAGCCAGACACCCCCCCCCCCCCCTCCCCCGAGGAGGAGGACAAGGCGATGGACTGTGACGCGGGCGAGGCCGACTCCGAACCACGCCGAGCCCGACGCCGAGGCGGACGACGAGCGCGCAGAGGTCACCATACGGGCAGGAGCTGGACGAACAAGGACAAGAACATGCACGCTCTCCTCATGCCATTGATGGCCTTGACGCTTCAGATTACGCAGAATATCAGAGTACTCACGCGCGCGGTGGCCGATGCCTTGCCTGGACGATGCCAGTAACTCACCCGCTTCTCACACATCAGCGACGAATTGGAGGTTTTTCGCAAGAGGGTCAACGGGGACAAATCAGGGCAGAACGAAGAGGCACTACAACGCCTGGGCCTACCGACCCCAGCACTGGCCCTGGCGATGCTGGAGGGACTGGCAACATGCGAGATCGGAGGCCGAGTCGGGCAGCTGACCAACGACTACCTCGAGCAGCGCCAGCCAGCCGACGAGGCCAAGGAACCCACCACCATCGACGTGGACCTCCTCTCCCAGCAAGTCTCGTTCATCAGGATAGAGAAGATCCGCGATCCCACCGTCGCCAAGCTGGTGATCGGAGCACGCGACTGGCCAGCCCGACAGCTCGTCATCGACGGGCTCCGTGCCGAGGGGAATGCTCGCCACCACGTGGGCCCCGCCCCCGCGGGCTGGATGGGGGAGGAGATCTCGGTCTGGCTGGGGCACTTCAAGAAGATAGGCGAATAGTGTTTACAGCTGGCGGGGCCCTTCCAGGCACGTGCCCCCAACCATCAGCAACGCCAGCGCCTGCGTCAGCTATCACCGTCCCGACCTTGTCAGAGGATAATGCGCGCTTATCAAACCATGATGTCAATCCAGATGAGTACGCCGCTGGTGATGAGGCCGCCAACTTTCTTTTACCGTAGTAGCCGACGCAGCCCCGTCCCCCGATCCCGAGCGGTCACGGTAGTTAGTATCCACTCTCCCCCTCTCTCCTCGCCTGCCCCACAGAAAACCCATTTCCCAATCCAGATCCCCCCCCTCCCGCTAAACTGCGTGGCCGGCTTTTTCTGGTGACCTCGCCCGGGTCCTGCGATCTAGCGGCAGCGCAAACGCGCTTCGATTGGATTTTCACTCCAGGAGCAGCCGCTTGTCTGTAAGGGCCGTGGAGGGGGATCGAGAAAAGGGGGGTCGGAAGAGCTGGCCCTCTCCCAAGAACGCCCCCCCCAGAGAAAGGGTTAGGGTTTTCTCCGCTGCTCCGCCTTGGCTGCCCGCCTGAGCGAGCAGCACCGTTGCAGCGCGCAGCCGCAGAAGGCGCGAGGCAGCCCCCCCCCCTCAGCGGGGAGCGCGCTGCAGCGACGTGCATCAGCGAAAAGAAAAATACTTCTCTCAGGCGTTCCCGCTGTGTCGGCCGAGGCTTCGGCGTCGGTCGGGGTGGCGGAGCTGCCAGCGTGGTTTAATACATTGCAGCCTGCCTCTGGCTTTCAGAGGCTTTCGTCGTTCCCATGTCGTCGTTAAAGAGCCTTCGCATTGAGCGCGGAAAGAGCAGAGAGGAGGCAGGATCGAGCAGGGAGGAGGCAGGAGGAGGCAGGGCGGGCCAGGAGAGAGGGGGAGGAAACAGGGATAGAGGATACACAGGGCCAGGCCCAAGCTGTTTGGTTGAGGGCATCCATGGCTAGGGTGTCTTTGTGGAAGCGGCATCACTTTGCGATGGCATCCTTGGCACGGTGGAGGAAACGGAGAAGAGGAGGGACGAGTGGGAGAAGGAGGAGGAGGAGGGCGAGGATCTGGAGGATCGATCTGGAAGGCCGACATGGATACGAAGGTTAACGGACAATCCTGTCCATTTTTGAAGAGGAAACGTTGTCGGCGTCGCCGCGGGTTGCCAATTTGAGAGAAGTCCGCCCGCCCAACAGCCCCCGCTATCGGATCTTGACCACTTTTGCTGTTTTGGCAGTGTACCCATGTTTGCCGTCCAGAGCGGAAGTAATGGTGAGGCTTCAAGGTTGTCGGGTTCCCAGACCCCGTCGAGTCATGAACGAAAACATGACAGAAAGTTTTTCGCTATTGGCTGCATTGGGGGACCCTTATTGGGCCTTGGGATGGTTTAAAAGCGACCCAGGAGAAATGGTCGAGACCTCTGGGGGTCGACGTTATGAACAAATCATGACGCCGGGGGTTTGGGTTCGAGGTGTCTGGCCCACGCCGCAGTGCTGGTGTCCCTGAGGGGGAGGAGGGAGGTGGAGCGTCTGCGGACCCCCGTCCACGGGCCTTCCCCAGCAGTTGCGACCCTTTCCCTGTGGCCAGTTCTTCGTCCTGGGGGTTGTTTCGGCGGGGCCCAGCGAGGGCCCCCAGAGGCCGAAAATGGCGAAAAACCTCCGTCGTGTGGTTTCTCTGTGTTGGATCTCTGGGTTATCATCTGGGGGATTTTGGGCCACAAGCACGCAAGCCTTTTGCGCTCATAGGGTAGGTGGAGTTCTTGACCCGAGATTGCGAAGGCCTTACGGCCGGTGTCGCCGACCCTAAAGACGACGAGTATGAAAACGAGGGTGACGAGGAGCAGGAGGAGGAGGACGAGGTAGAGGAGGAGCAAAAGAAGGAGCAAAGGGGGAGGAGGAGGATAAGGAGGAGGAGGAGGAGGAGGAAGAGCAGGAGGAGGAGGAGGAGGAGGAGGAGGAGGAAGAAGAGGAGGAGGAGGGGAAGAGGAAGGAAGGAGGACAGGAGGAGGAGGAGGAGGAGGGAGGAGGAGGAGGAGGAGGGAGGAGGCGGCCCCGGGCGCGGAGTCGTATCTGACACGCCCCCCCCCTACTCCCCACCCCACCCCCCCCCCAACCACCCCGGGGACCCCCCCCCCCCGACGGGGGAGGGATCAAAGGGAAGGGGCTTCCCTTTTTGACGCGGTTACGACGTGGGTCGATTTCTCTCAAGGCCGCTAGAGCACTGCAACGACGACGACGACGACGAGGACGAACAACCTCTCACACACGCCGACACAGGGTCGGCGTATTGCAGGGGGACTGCGCAGATGCATTGCGAGGGCCAGCCTGTGTGTGGAGACCCTGCGTCGGAGCTCAAGAGACGGGGGTCAATGCAAACGGGGGTCAGTCAGAGCGCTGGATCTTGCAGGATCCTGCAGAGTCAGGGGTGCATTGGCCCGGGCTTGTGCGCAGGATCTTGCAGGATATTGCAAAGCCTGGCTGACCCGGGCTTGGATTGACCCCAGTCAGTGGTTCCCCCACTGCAGAGGGGGTGCTCACGAACGCTCTGACCGTACCACTCGGCCAGGTCGGTGGTGAAGTGGTGGACCGGTGAGCAGCAGTCACGCGTGCACAATCGCGATACAGCAAACAATAAGTGCGAAGAGCGCTACCCAGAGTTGGTTGCTGAAACATGCACTGTTTAAATCGTCGACCGCTGAACTTTGCACCCTGACTCCACCATCATTCTCCACCCCCTCAGCTACCCTTCGATCCTGCTATCGGAGGCGACCGCGACGACGAGGCCCGAACAGGACTCCTGCCGTTGGAAAGGCAAGAGCAGGACGTAAAGGAGGCGGTGCGTCACAGATTCGGCGCGCATGGCATATGCGGGAACGCAAGTTACCGCTGGCGCTGAAATCAAGGTGGGGCGGACAACTCTTGCACTCCCCCCTTGCTCCTGTCCACTGTCCTGCCTCGTCCTCCTCGCTGGGTCTCGTGGGGCACCTTAGCTGTACAACACAGGGTTGCCGACTTTGGCGTGCCCGCTGCGCACTGGCTATCGCTGTAGCGGCTGGCCACCTCGGTGCGCAGCCTCTCTACCCTCTGCCAGCCTCGCACACGGTTTCGTGTGTGGCGGCGCTCGGGCTTTCTACGCTTATGTCCCTGACTTTCTGACCCTCTCTCCCACCAATCCACTTGTATATAAATGTCCGGTATGATGAGGTGGAGGAGGGAGGATTTAGAGAAGGGAGGAAGAAAGACACAGACGAGGATGATTATGTGATAGGCTCAGGCGGGACTATCTATGTGCCACGGCGGCCTGGTAGTTCGAGCTTTCGGAGCTCACGAAGTTCACTGCTTACTTCGTGCAGACATCTATTGGACAATGTTTTCGTGCGGGAGCCTGTGCTAGAGCCGCCGCATGCGTTGCATAATATTACTGGCAGGCCTATACCAAAGACCTGCGCCTCCATGAGCACATGGTTCCGCGCTGTGGCTGTTTCCACAACGTCCAGCAGTGTTGTTGGCAGCTCTTTGAATTTGGTGCTGGTACGGGGTGTCACCTACAAAAGACAGATACGGCACTCGTAGAAGCTGCCAGTCCAAGCATCTTTTCGCGACGCAGTGAATGGACTCGGTGCTCGTTTCCAGGGAGTTTGATCCAGTCAGTCAGTCAGTCAGAAGCCATACGCCAGCCTTTGGCACGGCGCTTGGGCAAAACATGCACTCACATATGCAAAGATGCACGTGCCCTGCCCGTGTGGCAGGCCAGTGATATGCTGACAAGATACAGCACGAAGCAAGGGAAGGGGGCAGGAGGAGGAGCGGCAGGATCAGGAGAGTCAGAGGTGACCTCCTTCCTGTAAACTTGATTGCGCCAGCTTGTACACACAGTGGGACCATTGCAGCTTAGGGCGGCCGCGCTTCTGGACCAAGTGCCACTGTCTCGGCGCAGTGCCCTCTGGCTCGCACACCAAGAGTCTCAAACAGTTGTCGTAAGGCAAGCGTGTTTTGTTTCGTATGATTGCACGTGCCTTTGGCGCAATGCCTCACTCAGGGGGACAGCTTGGGCAAGCGATAAATAAAACTGGCGTTTGAAACTCTATAATAGTATGCGTGCTGGATCCTCGGAATGCGTCGGAGACACGATGCTTGAAAACCGTTGAGTCTGTTACGGTCTGCTTGTAATATTCATAAAGACTCCAAGTTGTATAAAAGCTCGGGCACCACGATAGCGTCAAACAGGCGAATCTTCCGAGACTTGCTGATACCGGCGTGGTTCCAGCGTTTGTGCAGCAATCTGAATATGCCCCTAGATTCCCCCAGCCGTCTTGTAACTTCCGGCTTGCTCTCTGCAGCGTCGTGCAAAATTCCACCCAATTATCTTGCTTGTAGCACACTTATTATTGGCTGCATAGACGGGTCTCGCACCACCCCATCATTGTTTATTGTCATTGCAACTGTGTTTTCCCAATTTCAATCGAGGCCGTACTTCCCCACGAGATCAAAAATAATATGTTGTTTCAGCGGGTGCGCGCTCACGAGCATCTCGTCGTCGGCGTATAGTAGGTCATTGCACACCACACAGGCTGGTTCATTGACATCCACGGACATGGCGCGGTACATGTTGTCAACGTCGAAGAACGTCACAGTTTGTATGATGATGAAAACATACGGAGACAGAGGGCACCCTTGAGTTATACCTACAAGGTATTGCCTCATTGTAGAGTTCCCGGCTGGATCTTTCAATCCAATGCTATGAGTGATAGATAGGGCTCCAGAATGCCAAATCTCGCCAACGCCTTGATCAGCGCGTCGTGTTTGATCCTGTCAAAATGCCTTGGCCCAATCGAGTAGCACAGCGATCAAGCCAGGCTTCTTCGTGCACTGGGCGGAGTCTATCATGCGGCGGGCAATGGAAATTGCATCAATAGTGCTGCGACCCGGTCTGAACCCAAATTGTGTTGGTCGTAACATGTTTTCTGCCCCTCCTCGCTGCAATCGTTTTCGGATCATCCAGGCCAGCACCTTGTAGCCCACCGGAAG